ACATGACAAAATGTACCTTATTTTCTAACTGGCGCTTACTCATAATCTTTCATGTAAAACGCAAAGGAGCCAACAGCTATGCTCTAAATCCATCAAGCCATTTAGGTCAGGCTCAAACTCAGTTACTAAAAAGGTTTCAGTTCAGATATTCTTCCAAACCCTCTGCAAAGCAACAAAAAGAGTTGAGTTTGCACCATGATTTATTTCCATCGCCATTTCAGTCTCTATCCAATTAAAGCGAATTGACTGATTTTTCTAGACACTTGCAGAAAGTCAATTTGGTGCCCTTTGACGATAGATAATTTAGTGAAGAAAGAAATAGCCTTTCCTTCGTTTCACATGCAGGTGATCAAGCCTACTGGTAGATTATTTATTTTAGATGAATTAACCATATTGCGATGTAAGTTAATGGTCGTTAAATTTTCCCACAATCATACGAAAATACGCATGTTTTCATGGAATTTCACAGCCTTGCTTACAAAAAGCTATTCTCATTCAGACTGGACTAGACTGCAGTTTCGAACTCCCCTAAACTGGTAGGACTCGAAGCCGAGTCGCATTAGGGCAGCGTTATAAAAAGGCTCTTCAGATTACTGCGCATAGTCCGAGTCCCACTGAGGGTGCGGATCAGACATAGACACAGTCAGAACTGCAGTCCACTTCTGCTTCAATAGAAATCCCTTTGGAGGGGTAAAGCTATGTGAAATTCAATGGAAACGTAAGTACAACTCATATCATTGTGGGAAAATACTACTATTAACTTACAATTTAATATGATGAATACATCTCAAATAAATGTTCTACCAGTAGACCTCTTAATAATATCATAAAATTTCGGTAATCACTTTATCTTGTCATTGAGTAAAACTTGTAGGTTAACTTCATACTACTCAATTGAATTCAACACAATTCAATTTCATTTTACTCTACCCTACTCTGTTCGTTTTAATGAAATTCTTTACTATTTCATTCTATCATTTTGTGTTCTATTTTAATCCATTTTATCTAGTCACTTAATTATTATCTTCTCTTCTACTCTATCCCATTATATTACTTCCCATTATATTCAATTGAATTCTCTCCTATTAATTACTATTTTATTCATTCATTTTCCATTTTATTCTATTCTATTCTATTCTACTATATTCCATTAAATTACCTCCAACTGGGTGGATGTGAATTTTAAGTAAGGCCAGGCCTTTTGCCATACCACATTCCTTGGTGGGATTGTCGATGAAACAAAAGTATATTTGTTATAACAATCGACTACGCTACTTATTTTTCGTATGTAAGTAGAGTTTTGAGACTAACAGTAAATCGGTTTGTTTCATCGACAATCCCACCAATTAATGTGATATGGAAAAAGGCATGGGTCTCCTTTAAATGCACACCCGGCCTGTGGCCCAACGGCCCTCGTGGCAATGTAGCCGATTGTTTAACGTGTCAAGCTCATGTGCTGCACTGTCATGGTTCGAGTCCCGCTGGGGGTGTTTATAAGACCGATGCGAGGTCCAAACTGCAGTCCACTACCGCCTCAATGAGAACAACTTTTGGAAAGCAAGGTTATGTGAAATTGAATGGAAACGTCGGCTCAACTCACATCATTGTGGGAAAATTCTACTACCAATCCTTCTTCACTTTACATGAAATTGGGTAAATACACCTCATATTCTATTCTATTCTTTTCACTTTTTTTCACTTGAAAAATGTATTTTATGCTCTTCTTACCCGACAGAGTAGCTCTTTGAAGGCAGCATCCAATCCAAAAATCTGTCCTCTCTTGTACCGATCTCTTGTCTGAACAAAATCACACACAAATTCACATACACACGCATGCACACGTACAAACATATAGAGACGTATAAGCTTACGTAACGTTTCCTGCTTAACAGAGGCTCAACATAAACAAATCTCACCACTTTTCGGTTCACATGACGCCGCAGATGATAGAGCCCGATGATCAAAAGGCAGAGGATCACGGTGAAACAAGACAGCAAGAGGATGAGATCATTAAAGAGCAGTCTGGTTGGCCAGACTACGCTCATGGCTTTTGCGTCATTCAAGCCGAGCACAAGGACGCTGCAAGCGGGAATTTTCTGAATGGGCACAGAAATCGAGAAGGGTAGAACTGCGGCTGAATCGGTCTCATTCGTCAACGATGTCCCGTTCGTGGTGGTCGTCGTCGAGAGCATTGTCGTCGCAGACTCTCCATTCATGGCGCCCTACTTCGGCTCTTCTTCTGCCCCAGTCACCAGCTGGGGGTACAATTGGGCTGTTTGGAGATGGCACATGCACTGGCTCGACAAACACTTTCAGGAGCTAATCGTCTCTGTCTCGTGGACGAAGTTGTCTAAGAATGGCAGTTCACCAAACTGTTCTTCGGCTGATGGCAATCAAGACTGATAAAAAGCCATTCTGAACATGTATATATATATACGTATGTGTGCATTTGTAGGTTAGCATGTACGTTTGCATGCCCATTGCCTGGAGGGGAAAGTTGTGTGCGGTTGTGTGCTCGCATGTGCAAGCCCTCAGCTATTTCTACTTTATTCTCGTTGCCCCTCTGCGGACAAAGCATACTTACGTATGACCCTTACTGCCAGCAAAATAGCAGGAAAAGAGAAATTAACTCATAAACGTATATAATATATTCCTTACTGGACGCTTTTTGCGTCCATTCAAAGGAGGGTGTGGCCGGAATAGTTTTGGTTCAACTGTAAGTAATGTGTAAGTAGTAATAAGGCTCATTGTGAAATTGAGCTTTCAAGTGTTATGCCTTCGGGGAGAAGGGCAAAGGTAATATATTCGAATTGATGTATGAATATTGTATGTGAGCATTTCCCTATAATATTTCTATCTGGGTGTGCCTGGAATGTTAGAGACTTGACGAAAGAACGACAAGAATGTGGGTTTTCAGCCAAAACTCAATTAGAGCAGTGTCATGCACATACACATACACATACACATACACATACATATAAGTTTGTATAAAACTTGCATTCATTGGAAGGCGGCGATGATATTAACATAAAATCTTTAACCAGAGTTTCGTTGAATAGATCACTTGCTAACTATTTCACCCTTAGTCTGTCTTGATGCTTCTACACACACACACACACACAAACACACATGCATACATTCACACATAGATACCGATTTAGTGAAGTACAGACATAGAAATATATGTGAATAAATGCATACATGCACATCCTTTCAAACGAACTCACGGTGGTAAGCGCTCTTTGTAGCTATTTTCCGCTTTACGAGACCCAGTTGTAGGCAGAGTCTGCCATGAAGGAGGGAGGAAGCATAAAATTGGGATCCTCTGACC